GCAAGGATGCAATGATACTGTTGAAGGTGATAGCACTTGCATACTTTTTTGTATTTTTTCCTATTTTTCAGGTTCGTACGCATCCTGAAAAGTTCGGAGTTGGCAAGGTAATGTCAAGGACTCAGTCGCATGAGAAAATGCAGTCATTGAACACCAAGAAAGACCTTAAGTAAGCTAAAGGCTCGACTTTATTTTTCATTGCACCATTTGCATTTCAAATAAATTTAGGCGTCATTCTGTTGGCGGATATTCTCTCGAAATGGACACACCTGAAGATAGGGCTGCAACAAAAATCCAAGCAGAAATTCGAGGTTTCCTCGCGAGAAAGCATGTAGAAAAAATGAAGAAGGAAGATAATCAAGCTGCTACCAAGATTCAAGCCCATATCAGGTAAGTTAGGCAAGGATTTGCTAATTACAAAAGTTCGAAAGTATAGCTAATACATGTTTATTTCAGAGGTTTTCTCACTAGGAAGCACTTGGACGAGCAAGGCCTCTTATCTCCAACACGTTCTCGAAGCTCACTTCACTCCCATGAATCGGACGAGAACCACAATTGACGATGTAGTTGTTTACTCTATACCATCTCATTCCTTGTAATAGTTTGCTGACTTTCTACCCAAACAAAAAGTAGAAAACACTTTATAGATCTGGATCATCGTCTGAAGAGAACCTGCGCGTTCATTCTATGCTTAGTGAAGCTAATCGGATTGAGCATATTCTCAAATCATCGAAACATCGTATCATTTTCATAAATATGTGTTTTTGTTTTCATGTAACAAAGTTCTTTCCTGTCAATTTTGTTCGAAAGACCTGATTGTTTTTGACCATGTAGTTAATTACAAATATGATTATTTTTAATTAAACTTCTAACATTAACAAATACTTCTGTAATTTATTTAAACCACTTCCACGCTGGAACGTTGAACAAAGATCATTTGTGTCACAAATACCATATTCGCAAAGTCAGAGATGTGAGATATGCGGTTGTGCTTGATTGAGCTAGCAGAGCGATGGATATCATAAAGAAGAAATCCAATAGGCGTTCACAGACAAATTGGGCTCTGCTTTCCATATAAGGAGAACGCGTTTGGTGCAACAAAAAACTGAACCTTATAGAAAGAATACACTTCTTGGGCGGTAGCGCCTGTATGTTACGATAACAAGGTCAACATGTGATGTGGCTCGCGCTAGATCCAGCTTTTGCACCGTTTCGTATCTCTCAACA